AGTGGTGCACGAATGTTTTATTAAATACCCTCTTTGAAGTGGCTCTTAATGAGGGAAAACAACCACTTTCTTTCTTTTTTCTTTTCTTTTCTTTTCTTTTTTTTTTTTTTTTTTTTTTTTTTTTTTGTCTTTTTGAGACAGGGTCTCACTATGCAGTTCAGGCTGGCCTTGAGCTCACTTTGTAGCCTAAGCTGGTCTCAGACTGCAGTGATCCTCCTCCTGCCTCAGCCTCCGGAGAGCTGTGATGACCGGAGTGCACCACCACACCCAGCAACAGCCACCTTCCTAAGGCTACTATGAGCTTCTTTTTAGCCTTCACACTTAAAGGCTGTCTCTTTTCCTTGGCCATGTCTTGAAGGTACCAAATAACCACTATGATAATTGCAGCTTAAATTTATTAATCATAAAGTGTCATGCTCTCTGCGGTGCATTTTATAGCTATGGTGTCTTTAGAAAACTTTGGATTTTCAAAAAATTTTATATTACAGAGAAAAAAACAATAAAATCAATGATACAAAATTTCAAAACAAGAGAGTAACAATGGTTAATACATTGTGTATTGTTCAAGACTACGAGATAGAGGCCTGAAAATTGGTCAAACAATATAAGCACAAACTTTTCCATGAACTAAGAGAAATTGGTAGAATAGCTATTATAACTGTTATATATGTATTGTTTTGTCTTGTCTTCCTTTCCCCTTCCTTGTTTTCTCCTTTTCCCCATCCCAGTTACTCTTCCCTTTTGAACCATTTCTTCCCATTTCACAATATCTATTGTATATTCTGGATCTTATTTACTCTTTCAGTTTCTCACACTAGGTAGACAATATAATGTTTACACATGCAAGTCTGATTTATTTCACTTAAGAGTATGGTCTCAAGTTGCTTCCATTTACATATAAAAGTTTCAAGTTTTTTCTTCTTTATGGTTGAGTAGTATTCCATTGTAAAAAAGATCACATATTTTTAACACATTTCTTGGTTGATGGGCATTTGGGTTGTTTCCAAGATTTATCTATTATTGTGCCATTATAAACATGAATACACATATATTACTGCAGTATGATATTTTTAATTCTTCTGGGTAGATACCTAGGAGGGGAATACCTGGGTCAAGAAGGACCTCTAATTGTAATTTTTTGAGGAGATCTCCACACTGATTTCCACAGTGGTTGATCTACACTTCCACCAATAATGGAAGAAGATTCCTTTTCCCCGCAGCCCCAGAAGCATTTGTTATTGGTTGATTTCTTTTTTTAAATTTTCTTTCTGGTACCGGGGATCAAACTCATGACTACATGCTTGCAAGGCAGGTGCTTATGCCACTGAGCTAAATCCCCAGCCCCTATTGGTTGATTTCTTAATGATAGCCACTCTTAGGTGGAATCTTGGTGCTGTTTTAATTTACATCTCTCAAATGGTCAGTGACGCTGAATGTTTTTCACATATTTATTTGCTATTTGTATTTCTTTCTCTGAAAAGTGCATATTTGTCTCAGATGCTCATTTTTTTAACTGGGTCTTTGAATTTGGAGGTTCTGATTATTTAGTTCTTTAATGTTTTAGATATAAAACATTATATCTAATATAAAACATTATATCTTATATCATTGTCTGAGGGACAGCAAGCTAAATTTTTTTCCCAGTCTATGAGTTGTCTTTTTACGCTGGCACTGATTTCTTTTGCTGTGAAACAGCTTTTTAATAAAATTAAATGCCATTTGTTTATTCTGTGTGGTACTTCTCATATGGTCTGCGTTTTGTTCATGAAGTGCCTGCTTATATTTATGTCTTCAAGATTTTTACCTATTTTCTCTTCCTATAGATTTAGTGTCTGTTTTTTTTAGATGTTTGATCCATTTTAACTTTAGTTTAGAGCATAGTGATAGACATGGGTTTAATTTTAGTCTTCAGCATGTGGAAAACCAGTTTTAGAAAAGCTCTTGAAATACATACTATTAGCATCTGTTTCTATATTACAGGAAGGTCGCAGAATGTTGTGCTTAAGAACTTGAACTTTTCCTAAGTCTAACTCTCTGGTTTCAGATTCAGATTCTCTACTTACTAACTGTGACTTTGAGCCAGTGACTTGTTCTTTGTGATTGTATTAGTCTTCCATTGCTGTGTAACAAACAGCCCCAGAATTTAGTGGCTTCAAACAACAAATATTTATGACCCATAGTCTCTCTGGGTAAAGGAAGAGCATAGCCTTTCTGTGTCCTCTCATTCAGACATAAATCAAGATGTCAGTGATGATGCCAGAAATCTCCATGACTGACTGGAGGAAAACCTGACTCAGATCATTCAAACTCAGTAGCATTTATTTTTTCAGGAATTATTGGACAGTAGAGTTTAGTGCTTATATGACTGTTGGTTAGCTGATCCCCTGATTTCTTGTCACAGAGCGCTTTTCAGATGGCAACTTGTTTCCTCTAAGTCTACTAGCTGAAAAAACAATTTAAACAGTCTGAAAGTGAGACTCAAGACTCAATCTTTGTAATGTAATCATGGAGGAAATATGCCATCATCTTTACAATATTTTATTGGTTAAAAGCAATTTACTAGCTTAGGATACACTTAGAGAGTAAGATAAAAAAAGACATGAGCTACAAGAGATAGAAATAACTGAATATTGTATTACAAGTCTGTCTTTCCTTTAAGGCCTCAATATTACAATCGGTAAAGTGGGGATGTGGGTACCAATGTCAAAGAGTTGTTGTGTATATTAAGTGAGCTGTGATAAGCAAAAGTATTTGGATTGGTACCTGATACATAAAAAGTGTTATAAAATGTTTTGAATTCTTATAAAAACATAACAATGTGAGATGCCGAGATTTTATTTTCTTCATCCAAGATCAACTAGTGAGTGCCATGGTGAGGACTAAACCTAGGCCACTGATTCTCAGCTATGTGCTTGGAGATGTAACTGAGCAAGCCAGGCACAGTGCCAGCTTGACAAGGGCCTTCCAGTTTAGAAGAGAGGGGCTGACAGTCAGATGAACCCCCAGATAAATGAAAGTGTGGCAAGTGTTACAGGTGAAATGCACCCCATACCAAAGGGGAAAAATATCAAAGTTTAGATGAGAGGAATATCTCAGAGGGTATGGATGATCACAAAGGTGTCCTTAAGGATGGTCATTCAGCTTTCTCTCTCTCCCTCTCTCTCTCTTTTTCCCTCTTTCTCTCCCTCTTTCTTTAATACTTGGAGATATCGTGGCTGCTCTTCCAAAGCATTTGTATCCAGCTAAAAAACATCCATCACACTTCCCTGCTTATTCCAAGAAGTTTGACTCTGGCGTGCTTTTCCTGGATCCTCTTCTGACCTAGAAACACGTGGAGGGAGGAAAAGCTCCTCAGACCTGTCCTTGGGAGGTTCACAGTCAGATGTTTGGCTTCTCTGGGAGGGGTGGTCATCACAGTAAGATTTTTACCACGGGCCGAGGACCTCTCTACACCCGGCTACACCTCTGAACTTCACACAATTTGCATAGATTGCCTCCGTGAAAAGGTAAAAGAAATTAAAACTCATAATAAAAAAGAGAAACATCATTGCAGGGTTAAAAGGCCCTGTGCTTTTGACTCAGACATCCGTGCATTGAGATCCTAGCTCTCTGATCTTGGACAAGTGTCTTAGTCACTCTCTTCTTCTATAAAACGGGGATTATTCTACCTCTCTTGGGGAGTATTTGTGAGATGTAAGCAAGACACTCTCTCCAGCGTTCCCACTGAAATACTCAGCGCGTGGGCCGGACCGTGATCTTACAATGGGGGCCAACAGAGCTATTTGTCTTTTGATCTCCTGCAAGGATTTTGGGTGTTTTAGCTGAGGTCATCTTTCCTCACATCCCTCCCCTACCTGCTAGTGGCATAAAGATTTTCGGTGCTGAGTTGTTAAGTATTTTTCTAAGGTGCAAGAAGAGAACCTAGGTCTTTAAAGATTTATGAGATGGAACTCAAGCAGGTTTTCCACAGAGTTTTGGATGGAAATGCACAAAAACAAGCCCCAGTAAGGGAAAATAGCTTGCTCTCACACTGGAACAAGGGTATGAACAATCGGGTTGCAGTGAGGTAGACTGAGGTATTGGGAAAAGCTCTGCGGAATAAAGCATGATGCTTCTTGCAGACTTAGTCTTCTGAGGACTGGGCTGCATCTTTTCATCCTTGAATTGCCGAAAATCTACCTGCAAGGGGTCAGACAGCTATGCATACAGTCGTCTAATGTATTTTGAGACATGAATTCCTCAACTGGCTATCAACTCCACTTTGTTTCTCCCAACACAAGTAGATTTTCTCACTGGCCTCTTGCTCAGAGCAGTTTCTTGTTTAATTTTTTGTTTAAAATATTTTTGAGCAATGCATAACATTTGTACATAGTTGTGAGGCATTCTGTGACATTTTGAGTCACAGATCTATTGGATACATGATGAGCTCAAAGTAATTAACACATCTATCACCTAATCTTTGACAAAGGGACCAAAAGCATACACTGGAGATAGAATAGGCTATTAGCAAACGATGCTGGTAAAACGGGTCGTCCACATATTAAAGAATGAAGATAGACCCATATCTCTCACTCTGTACTAAATTCAAATTGAAAGACATAGATATAAAAACAAGAAACACTGAGTCTCCTGGAAAATACAATTAATAAAACTCTTGAAGACATAGGCATAGGCAAGGAATTCCTGAACAGAATCACAATTGCACAGGAAATAATATTAAGAATCAGCAGAAAGGATTATATCAAATTTTAAAACTTCTGCACACCAAAGGAAACAACCAACAGTAGGCAGAAACAACATACAGAAGGGGAGAAGATTTTTCCCAGGCATTCCTCTGACAGATGAATATCTAGAATATATAAAGAATACAGAAAAAGAGGACCCAAAATAAAAGACCCAATTAAAAAAAATGGATAAATGAAATGAACAGACACTTCATAAAAGGATTTCTTTATGGTGTTACATTTAAAATAGAACAGTGGTTAACAGAGACTGGAGAGGGTAGGGAAGGAGGAGAGGACAAGCCTTTCGATGGGTACAATGTTATACTTTAATGGGAGGAATAAGTTCTATGACACAGCGGCATGAGTGTAATTAACAGCAATGCATCATCTATCTCGGAGGAGGGTTTCTAGAGGAGGAGACAGCAGGGTATGGGGGCTAAGTGAGGGCAGACACCTTACTGTCAATCACAGCCATGCTTCTTCCCGCTGTGTGACCTTGGCTAATTTGTCTCACCCTCTTGTCTTTATTCTTACCAACAGTACAATGGAACAGTAGCGATAAACAAGATCTAGCATGTATTGGGTGCTTGCCGTACACTGAGTGGCAAATGAATACTGTACACTTATTGATTCTTAGTAATACTTCATATAGCTCTTACGCAAACTAGAGAAGTGCTTGGCGCATAGTAACTACTCAGTAAATGCTACTTAAGTGATATAATTCTCCCCTATGAACACAAAAGCTTGCTTAACTTCTACTTCTTGATCTACTACCTCCTGTATACCCATGATAACTTCATAGATATCTCCCCAAAGAGATAAGTGACGCTTCCAGTAGGAGACAAAACAAGAAGAGGAGGAGGAGGAAGACAAAGAGAAGGAGGAAGAGGAGCAGAGGAGGAGGAGCGGGGAACTGATGCTCTGCGTTGTGAGGATATAAACAGTCATATTTTTAACAACACGTGCTATTACAATACTAGATACACACTAAAAACAAGCCTTCTGGTTTGACCTCAATTGAAATCCTTGTCTGCCCTGCCTGCTATTTTCAGGAATTCATATTTTAAAACACTCACATGCAAAAGCCGTATTTTTCTTGGTTAGGACTCCGGCGATGGCATCTTGTTTGGAAAGCATGGTTTGAACTGTGTTTTCTTTTGCTTTTAGAAGTGCTGCCTGCTGGCACGCACTGGGGAGATGACTGAGCGTCTCCCCTCCCTCCTCACGGCAGCCCTGTCGCCCCGTACACTTTCCTGACCTGATGATGAGGCCCCTCACTCACTAAATTGCCCCTAACACTCCTCATCTTTTATCATGCCTTGCTTCCTCTCCTGTATCACAGCATTACTCTGATTTATGGTCCAGTTGTCCCACCTGCGGCCCAGGAAGATGGCTCCCCTCTGATCGGTTCCATCAGCAGTGTAAGTGGACGGTAATAAAAGCCCGTGCGTGGCTCAGACTTTCAATTTCAATTGGAAATTGAAACTGTGCAATATGATTAAAGTTTAATCTGCATCATCAATAAACATGTGCGCTAAAGCAACGAGGGAGGCTTTACCTCCTGTTTGCATGCCTGGGTTTGATGAAAGCGTGCCTTCTCTCTCCTGTCGAAGTGACGTGTTTATTGTAGTTGTGGTTGTGCACACCCACAGATGTCCATGGGCGTGTAAAGAGTTGATATATCTACACAAAAAGATGAAAACCTTCATATACATATGCTTGGGAGAGAAAATCTGCCCTTTCTTAGATGAAACTGTATTAAATTAGTCTTATGGGTTTGCTAAGGATACAATAGTTTTTCAAGGATTGCTAATATCCGTGTATCTATCTACTCCTTGATAAAGTATTTGTTGAGTGCCTAATGTGTGTCAGATGTGTCTTGGGGTCACACTGATAAAGAGGGAAACAGATGCTGTTCCTGCTCTCACAGATCTTACAGGAGTCGTTAAGAGGGGTGTCAGCATAATAATTAGACACTGAGATGTAAAACTGTCCCTTTATTAAGTGCCCACAATAAATGAAATGGTGTAGTACTGTGAGTGCTGTGAGGAGGGTCATGTGGCCATTCTGCAGTTTAAAGAGGGTTTTGTGTAGGGTCAGCTAGGCTGGAGAGGGGTCAGAGTGGTCCACTCACAGCAGATCGCATCTGCAAAGGGATGAAGGGAAGGGAAGGGGCAGTGGAGCAGCAGAAGGGAGCAGCATGGCTAGAGCAGGAGGAACAAGAGTCTCTGGATGAGGCTGTGGTCGGGGCAAAGAAATCACACAGGACTTTGTAGGATGTGGCAAAAGACAGAGATTTTCTTCTAAGGGCAGCTGTACAAGTCTGGGCATGCAATCTGTGATATTTAAAAGACTGTTGCATAGAGAAGGAAATAGAAGGGTTAAGAATGGATGGGCAGAGATCAAAGGGGAGGCTCTTATGGTGGACCTGGAGAGACGAGAATCACTTGGATTAACTGATAACAGTGGAGATGAGAAGTAGACAAACTTTTATAGCATAGAAATCACGGCTTGTCCTTCAGGCCCGTAGCTGACCCATCTCATCGCCATTCCTGTGTCCTTTCCTCAGTGTATCTCTATCACCTCCATGTGCTCTCCCAGCACCAGACTCTCCAATAAAACATACATTGTTCCATTCATCATACCTGGCACTCTGGCAACTGTCCCTTTCACCTGCAAACTCAGCTGCATCCTTACCCATCCCTTGCTATATCAGCTCTTTCTGGAGGTGGAAGGTAGATCACACTTGCTCTGGCCTCCAGGCCTTTGCAAACATCATTCCTTCTTCTAAGAACACTTTTCTTCTTCCTCTCATGCTGCCACTTGTATGTAAGCCCCAGTTTTTCTTCTGGGCATTCCTCTTTGATCTTTTCTGCAGAACTGGTGCAGTTCCCACGCATCATATCACCATAACTGTGGATTTCTTTGGTTCTTAGCATGCAACAAGCTATGGGAAACTAGAGTTTAAGGCCAGGACTTCTTTTCCATCATATCTCCCATTGTCCTGAACAGCACACCTAAGATGAGCTCAACATACATGGGCTAGGTTGTAGAACTCTGCCCCCTTTCTAATTCCAACTCATTGCCACACACTGTTATACCAAGTCTTCTCTTTGGCAAGATCTTATTCCGCCAATTGTCCCTTATCTCCTGTATACTTTCAATCTCACCATTTTAAATGTGTCTCCCCTTACAACTATAAAGTCATGCTTCCCCCTCGTTAAGAGCAACCATTCATTCTTGGCATCTTCCAAGAGTAGAAACTTCCCGAACTTTCTACTACTCAGTTGAACTTTTATAAAATATACTCTATCCTATTTATTTTTACTTTACCCTTTACTTCCTCTATCATCTGGCTTTCAACAACACAGTAGCATCAGAATAGCTCTGATGACACCTAGGGACCCACCCTCCCCCATAGGAAATTCAATTGTCACTTTTAGCCTTTTATCTTACTTTCATTTTTGATAATATTTGATGCTGCTGATCACCTGCCTTTGGTTGAAATTGTCCTACCCCCAGATTTATGCAGCAATATTTCCTGACACTTCACCTACATCTTTGACTGCAGTTCCTCATTTATGACTCTTTAATGAGCTTTCTCAGCGTTTCATGTACTGTACAAATGAATAAACTGAGGACACAATAAGCTCTATGATTCTGAATATGTTGAATTCAAAATGAGTCATCTGTTGGAGATGTTCACGAAAGCGTCTTTGAGTAAAATGTTATGAGGTCTTGGAATTGCATTGAAATTTTCCAGATGTAGTCAAGTGGTATTTGTAGAACTGAAAAGGTAGGTATAATTGAAGAATAAAATAAGTAGAAGTTATATGACTCATCATCATCTGAGAAACATGGATTTCCTTTGGAGTACTAGAAACAGTTGTCTTTTTACTGTAGAGATCTATACACCTCAAGTGAGCCAGGCAAGGGGTTATTCAGGGTCAGGGATCATAGGGATCTGCCCTTTTTATTAAAGGCAAAGGTCCATGTTTTCTGTTTTTTAATAGAGGGAGCCTGGATAGGCTGTCAAGAGACCTGGTGTCTTGTCTTGGCCCCTCCAGAGCTCAGACACAATGCGTTGAGTGACTTATTTATTCACAGTGAAGGAGTCTTTCTGTGTATGTAAACATGTAGGAAAACAGACTTCTCCAAGGGAAATTATAATATAAAGAGATTTGAAATGTCTTATGATTTGTAAAGAGGAGCAGCCTGGTGCCATGGTTACAGACACAAGCTCTAAAGTTAAACAGACCTGGGTTTAACCTCCTGCTCCGTGGTTTACTTGCTGGGTGAACTTGGACAGGTCACTAGATATCTCAGAGTAACAGTTTCTATAATGTTAAGATAGAAAAACAATCATCTTTTCTGAAAGATTATAGAGAGGGTTAAAATAAGACAATGGCTGCCACATAGTAGCTGTCCCCAAATTCTTACTTGGAGGTGGTAGACACATGGGAAGTGGGGGGCAACATGGGTGCCTTAGATTGAGCCCTCTTCCCAATACTCATGCATCTCATTCAATCAGAATGATTTGCAGTTGGTGGCAAATCCAGCCCTGGGACCAAAGATCTGAGCCTGGTGATAAAAATGCCAGGCAAGATTTGCTACTTCTTTTTTTTTTTTTTTTTTGCCATCCCCTCGTCTCCCATTAAAAATGATTTGTTGTTAGGACGAAACATGCGAAGACAAACGTGATTAAAATTTTCCCGTATTAAATACTTGCGTGGCAATAGTAAACTCGAGCTGAGTGCCCTGGAAAGTTCAGATCATCCATCCAGAGGGGGCACAAACAGCTGGCAAAGTCAGGAAGCTGAGCGAGACTCTGGGTGTGCTCCTATGCCACCACATTTGTACCCTGACATTTTCTTTCTATCTGGTTAATTTCATCCCATTGACTCCATCCAACACAAATTAAAGGTATTAGGGACAGTGTGTGGCCATCGTCACAGCACTGGAAAGGGGGTGGGAGGATGTGCTATACCATCCCATCCTATTCTTCTTTCCCAGAGGAGGAAAGTTGCTTCTGACTTTCATAAACGTGATGGTTCTGTCAAAAATTTATGAAGTCAGTCACATAGGTTATGCAACTCACCTCACAGATTTTATGTCTCTGAGTAACCTTTTGCTTTCTTAAGCTCTGTGGCAGATCAATTGTGAAACTATCCACAATCCCACAGTCCTCCCTGTATGCACATGTTTTGTAATGTGATTATAGCTCCTCTGCATCAAGAAGAAAGATTCTTTTTCAGTCCTTGATATGGGCTGGTCTTGTTTACGCTGAAACAATGCAGCAGAAACAAAGGTATTTCATCTCTAGGGTTAAGGCACAAGAAGTCAAGGCATGGCATTGTCTGTCTTGTAAATAAGTTTCGACTGCTCTGTGGGAAGATGAGAGATATACAGCGTAGTTACCACCTGTCATCCTAACAAGTAACGCGGTAATTTCTAGACAAGTGAACAAGACCATCCCACAGCAGCAAGCCTCTGGTCAAACTCAAAGGACCACAGATTCATGAGCAAATGCAGCTGAGCGCAACCCATCTTGTGAAGACAGAACTGCTCAGATCCCTATAGATACTAAGCAATAATAAGTGCCTGTTGTTTGAAGTCGCTTACCCTTGAGGTGGTTTGTTAAACTAACTGATACGAAGTCCATGTGTAATATTACCTACCATGGCCACCACTTCTTAACATATGCCCCACCCCTATGATAACTTTGCCAACATTGAAAGAGTGGGGTTCCCCCCACCCCAGCTTTGTAGAATCTGGTAAGATCCTCGGTTAATGTAGTAATCCCTCCCTTAGAACACAGACTATAGCAAAGTCCTCTCAGAAAGTCCAAAGTATTTAGTACCTCAAGGGCCAATGTAGACACAATTCCTTGCCCTAGAAAGCCAGAAGAACATGATACACAGGGCTTCTATTGTCCTCCTCCAGGCACAAATGACTGACCTCAGAATTTCTCCTTCAAGGTAACCAGCAGATACCCTGTTGATAAGAAATGTTGGTTAATGAGAGAAAAATTCAGCAATAGAAGTAAATCTGTTTCATCATACTCAGAATTCGCCCTGTCCTATTCGTTTACAGGATAGGGAGAACTTCGCATGGAGTGAACAGGACAAGGACTTGTTGGGCAGCGGTCATCTAGCCCAAGATCCCAAGTCATCCGGCCCTCCGTTCTCCTCTTCTTTGGTCTCCTCACCACCGACTCCTTCTCCTCACCTCCTCCTCTTCCCTTTCTCCTCCACACTCCTCCTCTGCATCCTCCTCTCCTCTCCCTTCTTTTTCGTGCTCCCCCTTTCTCTTTCACCTCCTTTCAGCATCGTTTGCATCCCCCCATCTTTTCCTTCTCCTCTGCCTTTCCACCTCAGATGCTCTTGCTCTTCCTCTGTGCCTCCTGTTCTCCCCCAACTCCTGTTCCTCCTCCTCCACTTTTTCTCCCTCTTCCTCTTCTTCTTCTCCCCTCCCGCTATCTTCTCTCTTTTCTTTTCATGAGGCCATAAGAAAGATTTTACTTCTTCTTTCTTGGGAAGGGCTATTTCCCCAATACCCTTGAAATTTGATGGAAGACTAAATTAAAGCTCAGAAGCAAACCTTCTCTGCTAATTTAGACCAGGGTAGGCAAAGGACACCGTCTACATGGTCTGCAGTAGGAAGGGTAAATAGTGGTTCCAATCTAGGGTGCTTGTGTTCTCCTAATAACACGCATGCACTTTAAGATTCCCTTTACTCACCTACTCCGAACCAAAGATATTTTCAAGGATTCTATGAAAGAGTGAGTGTGTAGCAAGGTCTTGAATGCACAAGAAAGCTGGTTTACTTTAAAAGTTGATCCTGAGGATCTGGGAGAAAATGGCACCAGTGATGTAGAAGATACAGAAGTATAGACAACATTTCACCTATTAATGCTCCTGTAAGAAATATTAGCAGGTTACTAGAGTGTCTGAGGTAGGACTCTGTTTGGGCTAAAAGTTTCAGTCATGTACTGGTTATGATTTGGGAATTTTAACATGTAAGAGAAAATACTTGCAATCTTTTCCTAAATAGAAATCCTTCTTTAAGATAAGAAATCTTCCTTCTCAAATCTGTGTCCGTTCTGCCATCCTTAACATAAGCAGAATTTCCTATTGGAAGGCCATCTCCTGGCCCCTGTGTCCTCTTCCAACCTTGCTTCCTTGTTCTTTCCTGCTTCCATTTGACTTTCCAAGCCGTGTTACACCACTAGATAATTTGTTCCTCAGAGACTTTCAGCACACCCTCTCTATCTGAGACATTCTAGTCCCTTTTCCTAATCAATCCTGTAGGTGTTAACCTTGGCATCCTCTCCTGCAAAAATTAGGATCAGGGGACCCAGGATAGTCCCCTTCTAGGCATTTCCTATGTCACTACCTCCTTTCACATAGACCGAGACCTGGAAATATTGTTTCTTGTATTCACAGAGAGAAAAGATAGATGTGATCACTTGAGATCACAGCACTATAAGATTTGTGCCATTCCATGTCTATAAGATAGTTTTTATGAGCTACAACAAGGGAAAAGCAAAGTATGCATCCGTTCTTCAAATTCAACTTGCTTTAGGTTCTAAAATCTTCCGCATGCCAGCTAGTTATTTATATCATGGTATAGGGGAAGCCTGCCCCTTGGTGCCCAAACAGAAGGAAAAGTTGTAATTGGAAGTCATCACTGCCCTGGGCAAAAGTACAAGGTGGGCCAGCCTTCCCAGGGAAAAAGCAATGAAGTGGTGACCAGGCTGTGATCAAGAAGCTTATCTTGAATGAGACTTGCTCTGTCCCAATTTCCTAAGACTCGAGCAAGAGAAAGGAGAGGGGTTGCTTTCATTTCAGTTAGACCTTTGACTCTGAGAGTTGGGAAACCAATGGGATAATACTGATTGCCTCTTAATAGGACCTTGAATAGAAAACAAAAGAGCGTGGGGGAGGGGTGTATTGATTGACTCCTCTCTGTGGGTGTTCGGATATTTTCTTCACTGCTCTATAAAAAGAAACAGTTAATGAAAGCACATCTAGCAAGAGGATAGCTGTCCGATCTGCTCTTTGCATAAATATCATTATAGAATTTTTTGCAAACACTCTCAAGAATAGATTTGGGCTGCTCCCTCTGTGACCCACAGAATTGGAGCTCCCCAACCCAGAAGACTTTCCCTTTCTTCAACCCACGAATACAAGCTTCTTGAGAACATAGTCTGTGTCTAGGGTATTGGCTATTTCTCAGAACCCATGGGAATGTTACTTGATAATGTAGGCCCTTACTCATGAGAACCTCTAACCACGGGTTTAGTTTAAATCAAGACCCCAAGATCAACCAAACACCAGATTTTGGCAACTCAGTTGGCTAAAGCAAACTTTCCTTAAAGCAATAATATTGAGATTTTGGGATGAGCAGTTAGCTGTCAACCTGTATTAGACAGAACTGAAGTCAAACTTCAGATCTGACACCTGTTTGATAATGTCCTTTATTGTCTTTGTACATCAGTTCCTTCATTTGCACCCTGAGATAATAACAGATCCTGACCTTAACATAACTGCAAAAAATTTAAAGATGACATATATAGTTCTTGGTACACAGGGCAGATGTACATGTGTTCTATGATGACAATGATAATGACTAAATATGACACCATCAATTCTACTGCACCTGTCTCATCCTTGGGCTGTGTTGATTGGCTGGGAGACAGTTTAAGTAAAGAAAGGAATAAATAAGTGCTCAATATGTATCTGGTACCCAATACAGGTTTAAACATAATTAGCATGCTTTGGGCAGGTTGACAGGATGTTTCTGTTTTCTTGCTTATGTTTCTTTCTTCCTTGTCTATTGAAAGGTTTGTATTAGCTGGTGATTTGGTATGCACAAACATTTCCCATTGACAGGAAAGTCAAGGAAAATGCAATCTTACAGCTCAGATATTAGTTCAGTTGCTCCGAGTCTTCTTCGGGTGATTGATAGGAGTTTTATTGCAGTGTACAAATTTGCATTCCTTTCTGTTAGCACATGCAGGGTTTTGGTCTCACACAACATGCCCCGGTGCACTAAAGATAATAGAGCTCTAATGTCCTTGATGGCACTGCATCAAAGCTGGTCAGGGTGCCATCAGCTCAGATGACAGAAAAGACTGGGCCAATGACATTCACACACCCACCTCCCAGTAAAGGCAGCAAAAACTCTAAGGCTAGAGACTGGCAGTATTTGCCAATACAACTTCAAAATTCCATCAACATGCACTGAGCTTGTCTAGAAATGAAGCTTATGACAGCACATTGCGTGGCACAGGTATGGGTAGGGGACAGAATTTTCTTGAATTAATGAACGGATGAATGGTTAATTACTATTAATAGTGATTATTCATAATGCATAAATGACTGAATCAATAAAAGTCTTTATATTGAAAAACAATTGAGGAATCCATATTGGTTGCTTTTTTTGGAAAGCAACCAAATCTGAAGAAAATTGGCTAGAAGAGATGAATATATGACCAAACCCCAAAGACATTGGTTGTCCAGCTGCTGCAAATGTGACAGATAAAAAAGTGACACACTCAAGTGAGTGGATAATGGCTTGGTTACTGAAAACTAAAAATTACTAGAGACTTGATTGAATTTCAGCTAGCATTTGACTGTCAGCCCCAAGCACAAGTTATTATTTTCGTGATCTTTACTAACAATATTTAGGTAATAATATTTAGTCTATAAGCCATAATGAAAGGTTCTATAATACAGGAGATACAAGCTTATGGGGGTAGTCACAGTAAAGAACACAACTACTTTCAAACCTAGGGAAAGTTTTGTTACAGAGGAAGGGGAGTTAAACACTGCACAATCTGAGATGAGAAAGTTGTGGGAGAAAATACTCAGCAACACGGGAAGTATACAACAGTGCTTTCACCAAGTGTATCCTAAGGAACCCTTTGCACAAAACCATCCAGGAATAAACACGCTTCTACTACTGAGTCAGACTCTCAGTGGATATGATCCATATATCTGAATCCTAAAAGACCCTAAAGTCGCTCCTATGTGCTACAGTTTTTAGAAGTCATTTCCAAAAATTGTCAAGCTTACTGTTTAATTTCTTCCTCTCAACTATCAAGGGAGGTAGGAATACTTGCCCCCATTTTATGGCTAGGTATGTTGAGGTTTAAGAAGGTAAAGCAATTTGTCCAAGGTTACCTAGCCTAGGAGCCAAAATGCTGCAAATCAAACACCAAACTTTTATTTACACCCTCTACCTTTTCTATAAGGGTATAGGACAGTGTACATGAGGGGAGCCACAGGTAGTGACTTTGAAAGAGTATATTTTGATAGCAATAAGAGTAGAGATCGATAAAGACAATGATACTGCTTTGTATCTGTAAAAAGAAAGAAAGAACACACCACTCTGGCTGCAGTGGACTTTATCAGAAGACTCTGATTAATGAGCGAAGGCCTAACTCAGCTTCCCTAATAGATGCCTGTTATATTGCCAAGAGATTTCCATCTCCACAATACACCGTGCCTGGGCAGCAGTGCTGCCTCTGCTCGGCATTTGATCAGGCTCATCTCTGTTTTTAAATTAGGAGGTCAGTAAGTACAGCAACCAGTGATCAGGAGACGGAGTTAAAGCAGCTATTAAACAATCATAAGGGGCACCTGAGAATTGAATGCGAACTCTGTGGATGAGCGTTCCATTTGTAGCCAGCTAAACCTGGATGAATAAAACATCCAAGGTCAAACGTCCAAGGTCATGGTTCTGAATGGCCAAGGGAGCCAGACTGACTGTTCTGAAGCTCCACCCTCCTCCCACACAACCTGAAAGCTCACGGAAGGCAGATACACGGTAAGGTCTGGCCACGCAGAGGTCAGGTTTATCCCCTAGCATCCTTAAATTCCCTGCCCATATGGCAACTTTAAAGGACATCCTGACCAGAAAACAGGAATAAGACAACTCACTCAGCCACCCTGGGTTTCTATGTCCCCTGATCCACTTTACTTTGTTTT